AAAAAATGCTCTGCAGGCCCTTTCCATGTGTAATTGAATTTTAGATTCCCTGCCTATTATCAAAACATTATTAATTATTCTAGCTACCTTGCCAATTAGTACCTGCACTAATGAAAGGTCTTTTTCAACTTTAAAAAGGTTAAAAACCTATTTAAGAAACACAACTGGTGAAAAACGTTTAAATGGATTAGCCCTATTGAATATTTATAAGGAGATTATTTTAGATAAAAATTTGATTCTAGATGAATTAGCAAAATCTCAGAGAAAAGTAGATCTCTCTTTTTAAATTCAAATCAAAAAATAGCAATAAAATTTTATTAGTTTTAATATATAATCAATTTTTTTTTGTAAAAAAAGTATTATTTATAAGATAATATCATCATATTTTTTTAAATACTATTATTTGCATAAGAATTACACATATTTTATATAATTGTAAAAAATTACATTTTTTTAAATAGTATTTATACATTATAATTTTTAATATTAAAATCTGTATTATATAAAATATCAACATTTTGAAAATATTTTAATTAATAAAAATATATACATGATTAAATAAAGGAATGTAAAATATATAATAAAATACCCTAAAATTTTGTTATATGAAAATAAAACAATTTTAACAAATCCAAAAATATAAGCAATTAAGTGTTCAAAAAAAATTGAAGGTTTTTTTTAAACCCCCCCCCCCATGATAAAATCCTGGCTACGCCACTGAATGTTTACCTGCATTAACTATCGATTATAATTAATCTTATTCAACATTTTAATCCATTTGTTTCGTGTATTTGTTATCGTCATTTTTAAAAGATATAATTAAATATTTATTTTTTCATATCGCAGTATCTAAGTCAAAATAAATTATTTCTATCTTAATTTTCTAAAAATAATTGATCCTTGACTCACATTCTATGTAAATTTTCTTTAATAACATTATTTATTTTTATCGTCAAATATTATAACAATCTTCTTTTAGAACTTGAACAATTAGCCCAGAGGGTCTTCGGAGATAGAGGAAATTAGGGTTAATTGAGTAGAGTCCTTTGTTCGTCAATTTAAGTATTCTTTCATTTTAAGCCATTTTCTTAGTGATATTATAGTAGTGTCAAGTTTTTCATAAATATCATATAATGTGATATTATAGATATCAGAAACCTGCAGGCCCGGCCCTAAGCCCGGGTACCAGGGCGGGCCGTATTTTAAATTTTTAAAATAAACCCGGGTCGGGCCTGAAAATTTTTTTTAAAAAAACCCGGGCCGGGCCTGAAAATTTTTTTTTTAAAATACCCGGGCCGGGCCGTATTTTTTTTAAAAATTTATAGGGGAAATGTGGCATGAATGGCCATGTTTTTGCTTTTTGAAAAAAAAGTATTAAAATTTATGTTTAACCAAACAAATTTTATATCAATGTGTAGCCTAAATATTAATCTTTAAAATAAAATTAGAATCAAAGCTCTATGTATAATAGTTTATGAGCTAAATGAGGTTATGTGAAAGTTGTTTTTCTGACCAGTCAAAACATAGTATGTATTGACTGGCCATATACTATGTGTTAATTGGCCATAAAATATTATTTAAGAATTTTATTATAAATATAAAATAATACAATATGAAATACTTGTAAAAGACTTATATTGATATTTCTACATTTTTTAGTTATATAAAAAATTAATTATACACTAATTTAATTAGTATTAAAATCTCAATTTATTACCACATCTATTTAATGATAATATTATAAATTAATATCTTAATTATCATTTTACTAAACATTCTTAAGCTTGTTCATCATTTTATATCACCAAATGTTGTTTTGCAAGAGCTTTTAATTTTAATATGAGTATGTGAATGAGCGAATTGTGGCCAATCAATACATGGCCAGTCAATACCCACCTCTCTATTATTATTAAGCGTCTCATATGTCTATTAAATAAAGCTTTTAAAGTCTAATTTTTTGTGTGAATAATGTTAAATGCCTAATGATAATATTTCAATAAAATATCAATAATCTAAATTAGTAATTTTTTCACAAAAAAAAATGTGTAAGGTGATTTTTCCAGAAAGAGGTACTAAAAACAGTTTATTTGAAATATTTTTTTATTGAATTGCTATATTCAATAAATGAACTTAGGTAAGGTACATATCATAAATATACACATTTTGACCACTTTTGAGAGAAATTGGTCTAATAGATAAAAAGTTAAAGGGTGGAGTCCAGTCTTCAACCATGGCCGTTTATGGCACATTTCCCCTAGAATTATTATATTCGTCAATTAGATATGGTTATAATGATTATATATAGTTATGATTAATATAATGTTTGGTGAAAGTTAACACTAGCTAAGACTCGTAGTATCTCTTACATAATAAAATTATAGTTTTCCTGCCATGGAATAAATACGCAAAGGATTAAATACATTATTAATTAAAATATCATTTTTATTTTTTTTATATCAATATATTATTTACACAAATTTTTTATAGTATCAATTTGTAATATACTAAATATCTGTTTAGAATAAAAATATGATAGTGTTGTTAAACGGCTCGTTTTGAGCCGATTTTTAAAAACGGCTAACTCAGTTTTTTATCCAGAAAAATATTATGCAAGCCTGAAAATTTTGCTCATAGAAGGAGCAAAGGTCTAGACATATAGTATCTAAATTTCGAGGCTTAGCCATGGCGAAAATATTGAGTTAGCCGTTTTTAAAAATCGGCTCAAAACGAGCCGTTTAACAACATTAGCTTATATACTTGCTTACTAAATGATAATACTAGCCGAAAAATATGATAAAATATGAAATAATCATTTTTTATATATAACAGGTCGAATATAATTTTAAAAAATTCCGAGCCGGGCTTAAAAAATTTTTTTTAAAAAAATCCAGGCCAGGCCGGGCCCCAAAATTTTTTTTTTAAATATCCGGGCCAGGCCGTAAAAAATTTTTGAAAAAAAATCTGGGCCGGGCCGAAATTTTTTAATTTGGGCTGGGTCGTACAAATGGTACCTCTGCAGGTCTCTGATAGATCAATATCGAGTATGTAAGATACGTTTTGTCTGGTTATTTATTTATTCAAATGTTTCTTAATTTGAAAAATATATTCATAGTAAAAATGTACGTATTTTTTAAATCTATTTTTTTTATAAAGGAAATAGAAAAATAGGAGAAAAAGTCAAAAATTTAGTTAAGAAAATATATTTATGTACGTTTTCGTACTTAATAATTACTTTACTTTTGCGTGTACTGTAGGAGAAAGCGGAGTAGACAGTTATTTTGCATTTTTACTCTAAATTTATTTATAACCAAAACAAGAACAGAACTATAAATCTATTTTTTTTAAAGTGCAACCAGGCGCGTAACCAATGGGGGGGGGAATCCCTCCATCGAAAAATTTGACTGTTTTCTTAAATATCAATTTAAGTTAATAAAAATTTTACCCCCCCCCCCCCCAATCAAAATTTTGCAAATATTTGAATTAGTGATCTGCATCGGGCCTAATTTTTCAAGCCCAGCCCGGTCCGAAATTTTTTTAAAAAAAAGTTATGCCGGCCCCGGCCCGAACCTGAAATTTTTTTAAAAAATTACTCGACATTATATAAATATAGATATTAATTTTAATAATTACTCAAAATAAAAGACATATGTTATATGGCGTCACGTTCTATAAATAAAATCAAATATTTTTCTTTTACATAAAAAATTCAATATAAAATTGATAAATCTAAATATATTTTAAAAAATTTCCAAGACCCGGCCCGAATCTTTTTTAAAAATATTAGGCACGACCCGGCCCGAACGCAATTTTTTTTAAAAAATTAGGCCCGAGCCCAATACTTTTGCAGATCTCTAATTTGAATATCAATTTTCCAATATAAAACTTATTTTTTATAATAAATTTTATTAAAATTTCCTTTCCAGTCAGTAACATATACAGGATTTTCCTAATTTTTGATAAATTGGCAAATTTTCCATGAAAATTAAAAATCACATTATAATTATAGTATTTAATAAATTTTTTGTATAATATTATAATTGATAAGTTATAAAAACTTGCTTTTTAAATTATTTTCTAGTCAATATTTTATACACACTACAATTAGTATTTTCAATATTTATTCTATTTATATTGTATGAGAATTTAAACTGAGGCTAGTTTTTAAAGCCAATTTTATAAAAAAAATTATATTAAACTTTATTTCAATTTTATATTTAAAAACAAATTCATTAAATGTAATATACCTAACTTATAAAATAATAAAAAATTGGGGTATAACTATTTCTTCTTTAAATATCCATAAGTGCGAATTAGTAAATAAAAGCTAAAAATATTAATATAAGTATTATTGAATTATGAATAATTTAATTGAATAGCTCAAAGATATGACCCCTAAGTGGGGTTTGGAGGGCGACCAGCCAGAAAAATTCCCCCCTCCAGAAAATCCTGGATACGCCACTGAGTGTAACTAACTACTTGTTGTACTGTAGGAGCTATTATGATCAATTATGTAGTAAATTTTGAATTTTCCTAATTTAGGTATATCTTAGATGTCATGCCTATTTTTTAAAAAAATCATTACATATAATAAACTATTTATTAATGTTCCTTTTTTCCTTAAAAAATTTTTCAACATTTCCTTTTTACAAATTTAATCAGACGAAACATTTTAAGCGTTTTATCCATAGCTTCTATCTCGAGCCCTAGGCCAATAATGAGGGAAGTCTTTATGACATATAATATTGTAGCAATATAGTATAATAATCTATAATTTAGTGCCAGAAATTAATAACCAACATAAAAATTACCAATCTCTGAATATAATATAAAAAGTTAACCATAAACAAAGAATTAAATAAAGCTCTAACAAAGTTTTGACCCGTGTGAATCAAAATTTGCTAACAAGTGGACGAAGTTTAAACACAGCTGATTCTATAAAGGTTTCAAAAATAGAAAACGCGCACTATAAAATTACATGAGACTTGGGTAGTTTTATTTACTCGATAAAAATGACGTTGTAAATGTCCGAATAGGAATGGCGACTAAGTGATTGGCTGAGGCGATAATTTCTTTCCCGTTCCGATATTTTGATGCGATATTGATCAACATTCACATTTTCGAGCCGAAATTCTTTGATGATTGCCGAGTGCAGGCTTAATATGTCCTCGTAAGAACGGCAGGAATTTATGCTAAAAATAATTTTAATTTAAGTTTTTAAAAAGCCCACATAAAATATATTGGTAGGTAGAGTAAAGCAGATTTATATTAAGATACTTTTTCAGGTCTATAATTAATGTAGATTTTGAAAATTAAATTCCCGGCTGAAAGAAAAATGCCACACCTTATATTAAATTAAGGTAACCACGTGACCTTAATATTAAAAGCGTTTTAAACGCCGCATTAAAAAAGTGACCCAGGACGGCTTCTAGAAATGCATGATTCATGTATTTAAATGTACAAATAATATTTAATATGATAATTATTCAAAATTCAAAATGGAGCGAAAAAAAGAATAATTTTATGGGAATCATTTACTCATTTTAAATAAAGTGATATAAACATGAGTTTTAGCAAGTTACATTCCTTAGGCCTAATAAAAAATTTTAATTCATTAAAATTGGTGGAAAATTGAACCAATTGATAGCGAACGATATTAACTATCCGCATATTTTCATAAAAGCGTATAAATAAACATTATTGCCTTAAATCTTTGTAATCCAACTCGACCACGGTGTTATTCGTATTTAATGGAATGAAAAATTTACCGTCCCACCTCGGAACTTAAAGAAATACTTAATTTTTTGTTTGATATCTATGTTGTAGATGGCAAAACGTTATTCTCGAGAAGTCTGCCAACGACTTTGTTAATTGAAATAATTTCTCTGATTTATTTTCTTCACAATCTTGATTTCTTAATTCATTAAAATCTAATTTGAAATGGGGAATAATCGTATTTTGCGGAGAACTACGCTTTTGTAGTTCAAGATCAAGCTCAGGGTCTCCACAATCTTGATTTCTTAATTCATTAATCTAATTCGAAATGGGGAATAATCGTATACTACAGAGAACTACGCTTTTGTAGGTCAAGATCAAGCTCAGGGTTTCCATTGGACTAATAATCAGTCGACACTTCATTTATTTAAGACTTATCAACGGTAAATCACGTAATTATAAGTATAACAGAATGTCTAAAACATAGCACTTGTGCATTTTATTTATTTCAAACAGGAGTAATTCTATCTTTCGAAAGAAATATTTGATAAGGCTTCATTTTTTTTCTCCTTCTCCCAATAAAGCTGTTATCGAGTATGAAAGAATTACTTTTACAACCACGAGATGCCGGGCATTTCGTCGCAAATGTACATCAAAGCTTCCTTGAGTAACTCCATGTCAAATCAATAACGTTTCGACCGACCCCTTAAGTTTTTCATAAAATTTGATAGAAAATGCAAGGTCGATGAGGCCAATACTACGCTAAATTTTAGCCTTCAAACACATATTTTTGGAAATATTCGCAGTCAAAGCGGGAAAAATGGCCTATTTTCATCATTATTGGTCATCATTCAATTAAATATTACTAAAAATACTAGTGTACTACCACTTTTTGGAGGCCGATTTGACAATATATTGATATGGGCCACAGATCCGATATCACTAATCAGATTTTGTTTGTTATCGTTATACATATTTAGTTTTATAGTATACTACCATCTATAGGTATAACATAACTATAACATAAGTCAGTTATAATATATAACTATCAAATTTAATTAGTCTAATATTTTAACTTATATTAGGTTATATCATTCATGTTGTAAAATCGTAATTTTTTTTGTTCCAAAAGTCTTTCTATCGTGTAGAAATCATCAATTCTAAAAAATATTTAAATTAAGTTGCCATTTTAATGGATCGAAAAATCTAATAATATAAGCCAAACCGATATTTAAAAAAAAGAATAATCAGCCAACATCTGATCAGATAAAAAATATTGGCACATGTAAAAACTACACGATTTAAAATAACGAGTCTTATTAAAAAAATCGTTCAGATATTATATTTTAGGAAAAATTTTTTAAAAATTGTCGGTCATTTTATTTATTGAATAAGCTAAACTTAAAATTACATAATTTTATTTATTCATTATAAACATCTCCTTTATATTTATTTTAAAAAATTTGGGCCGGCAGGGTTTCATTTTCGAAATTTAAAAAAAAAATGAAAGTAGGAATAATTTTTTTCCCGCCAGTAGGCGATTATAAGTCAGAATATAATAAAAGTTTTAAGAAAACGTTAATAAAATATGTCATAATAAATAATATTATGAAAATTTGAGCAAGTAAATAATATTATGAAAATCTTCAATCTTAATAATTCCATCTCAATTGATTATATTTGGCACCAAAATTATATCAATTAATTTATTTGGAAATTATACTTATTTACTTCTGTAATTTTCATAATATAACTAAGTTTTTGGATTTTCTTAAATAATTATAGATATATTGAAATTGGATCTTAATTTCTTTCTATATCAAACACATGAAATAGAATTAATTAATCATTCGACATATATTTTAAGTAGGGAGTACCAATATTCTTTATCGAATCAGACCCATTTTTTTACCGTTTAAATCCGATAAAATAGCGTCTTAATTTAAAATTTTTTAAATTTATTAATATTTAAGAAAATATATTTATGTATATGTCTTATTGGGATATAGAATCATGTGGGATTCGGAATCCCAACGTGGGTATTCGAGATCTTGAATCCCCACGTTTTATTCGGACTCTTTTTTTTAAATATATTTTTTAAAAATATATAAAAAATATTCCGAATCCCCATGAAAAAATAATAAAATAATATAAATACTTTTCTTCCCCTTTTTGCAGCTGGCATTATATAATTAAAAGACCAAAATAAGGGATTTAAAAAGAGATTTTAAAAAAAGCCGCAAAAAGGGGAAGAAAAAGTAATTATATTATTTTATTTTTATAGGGATTCGGAATATCCGAATCCCACATGATTCCATATCCCAATACGACATATATATTAGGAATATTCTTTTAAAGTTATCATTTAAAAAAAACTAATTGAATATTTGAAAATATGTTAAAAATGTATTAAAATATATAATTTGTTTTTAAGCATACAGCAAAACCTGTCTAATTTGTGCACTATTGGAAAAGATTTTGGTCCAACTTAGAGAGTTACCCAATTTATCAATACTTACTTTCTAATATTAGCCAATAGGAATTTAATTGAGACTCAAAATTTGGTCAAATTAAGGAACTATTTGAATTATCAAGAGTCTAAATTAGACAATTTATTGTAATTTTAAAGCTTAGATAATTTTAAAAAGGTTCTAACAATTTATATTTATCATGAATAAACTAGATGGGAATCTAATTATTATATGATAGAATAACTTTCGAAACAAAAAATATTAAAACGATTTTACTATATAAATAAATGATTTATCAATGACATACTTTCACATTAGTAGATATAACTAGATAATAGGGTTTGTAAATCTACCAAATAAAAATAATATAAATTTTAATTAAAGAATTATAGACTAAAATTGTAAAACATCGTTTTTTTAAATTTCAGTTATATTATCTTGCAAGTAAAGAACTAATGCTCAAGGGAACAAGTCAGGAATTTGTTGAAAAATTAAGTAATGATATATGTAATAATTTGATATTTTTTTCAAATAAAGAGTTGATCAATGCAGCTAATAACAAAAATGAAGAATGATTTGAAAATAAATAATGAAAAATATAATAACCATTTTTTAAATCTACTATAAAAGAATTGGATAATAAAAGTACAGGAACAAATAGTTAGTGCGGTAAACTATTTCAAAAATAATCATTTTAAAAGTTTCAAACTGAAACAAGAGGAAAGGCCATCTCTTGACACTCCACAAAATATTCGTTGGAATTCAGTTGTAGTTTAGATGTCTCTATAACTTAGTGGGCAAAATTATCTAAAATATGCGAATAAAATCGACATTGCAATTTAAAATATCACACTCAAAAGAGCTGCTGGAGATATGATTGAAATCTTAAGACCAATTAAGAAATGTTTAAAAATTTTAGAAAGAAATAAATCAAATATTCAGACAGAGTATATTGTTGAAAGAATTCGCAAAAGTTTTTCACCACCTTACATGCTAATAAAAAAATAGGTAGTAGTAATCAACTCTCATCCTTTGCTAAGTAATACAATCAAGCTTTAACTCCTGCACACTTCTTATTCTACCTTTTAAATCCGAAATATCATTCAAATTTAACAACCAATGAAATGGAAACAGCAATGGAATGCGGGAGGCTTCTGTAACCAAACACCGACATTTTATCTAGTAAAGCTTCAAGCAATATCAGAGCTATTTACTAAAATTATGTTTTCAGATTATATAGTAAATAAAGTAAACACAATTGAATGGCAGGTGGGAGGATATTTGATGAAGGATGTAAATATTCTAAAAATAATATAAAAAAACTATGCGCTGCAGTCGAGAGTATTCTCGTAGTTTGGAGTTATTCATTTGAAGCTAAAGAATCGGTTAGGAACAGAAAAGGCAGGAAAATTAGTTTTTTTATTTAGCAATTAAATCGAAAATGTCGACGATGTAGATATTACTTGTGATTTTTATTATACGTTATTTTTAAATTTTATTTTCACTATTGCGATTAATATAAGCAGTTATTTTTCTACTTTATTAAAAATTGAAATAAAAAATTAATTTTTTTGTCTAACAAGTGGTGATTATTAGTGCAATTTGGTTATTTAATTTAGATTTTGCTTATCTAAGTCCTTATCTTTCACTATTTTATTTTTTGATTTAAAATTGTTTTTTTTTTAAAAATCGGGGTTACTAAATAAATAAGCCTAAATGATAATTTAATTAAAATTTGATAATAACATTATTTTTTATAATATAAGATAATGGAATAATAAATCAGTGTATAATGTTTTAAAAAGGAGTTTTAATCATAATATTCACTTCTGGCTTTTAAAAATCAAAAAAAAGGCAAAGCTTTAAACAAAATATATCATAACTCTAAATTTATAGATAAAGGTTTGTATTTATAAGATATATAGTTAATAATGTCTTATTTTAAAAGGTTATTAAAGAATAATTATGTATATAGTTCCATATTATTATTATTTTTAATGATCAGA